AATATAGCACTTTGGCCTTGAGGCCGTATGGACTGAACTAATTCCACCTTCTCGTAAGAAAATATTGATTAGTAGTATGTACCGCCCTCCATCCGATGATCATGAGTTCTTTGAGAAATTTGATGAATGTATGCTGAAAGTTAGTGACGAGGATAAAGAAGTCATTGTAATGGGAGATTTGAATTGTGACTGGTCAACCAATGACAACACAGGCCCAATAGGAAAGCTACGATTCTTATGTATGTTGCACCAGATGGACAACATCATATCTTCACCAACTAGAGTCACTGACACCTCCAGCACTTCAATAGACGTCATCTTAACGAACGACAAAGCACACCTACACAACCAGGGGACATATGAGGGGGGCTTTAGTGATCACACCATGGTCTATACTTACCATAGAAGCAAGAGCCCTAAGTCACAACCCACAGTCACAAGCAGAAGGGTATACAAATCTTTCAATGAAGAGAAATTCAAGCATGACTTAGCACAGGTACCATGGCACACCTTAGACACCCTTCCTACTGTAGATGAACAACTGGAAACATGGCAGGACTTGGTAAGCAACGTAGCCAACTTACATGCTCCCATTAAGAAAATGAAAATAAGAGGTACACCTGCACCTTGGCTGACTAACGACCTACGCCATTTCATTAACCTAAGAGATCACATGTATCGACAGGCAAAGCGCTCTGGTACTAGTGAGGACCTTGCTAACTACAAGGTAATGAAGAACAGGGTCAACTACATGTGCAGGATGGCTAAAAAAGATCATGCCTCTCAGTCAATAATCCAGGGATCCGAGGGGGGTCAAACTGGAATCTGGAAGGCAATTCGTAAATTGCTACCCAGTAAGTCATTAAATACTGTAACTTGCTTGGAATATGAGGGCCATAGCACCTCTGACAAGCAAGGAATGGCCGAGATTTTCAACACATTTTTCCACAAAGTAATTGAGGACTTGTATAAGTCTCTCTCAGGGGCACTTTCTCCCTTCTCTCCGGTCCAATTTGTCAAGAAAGCAACCAGCACCTTCACCTTTTCACCAATCACGGTGGAGTTTGTCACTGAACAGCTGTCAGCAGTTAAGATTAAGAAGGCCACCGGCCTAGACAACATTGACAACAGGTTGCTGAAAGTGGGAGCGCAAATTCTCGCCCCATCCCTCACCAAGCTCTTCAATAGATCTCTCGACACAGGGAAATTTCCGACCAAATGGAAGCAGGCTAAAGTTCTGCCTATCCATAAGAAGGGGGATAAGACCAGCCCCAGTAATTACCGCCCTGTGTCCATACTACCTGCTATTTCTAAGATTCTAGAAAGAGCAGTACACAATCAATTGTATGACTATTTCAATAAGAACAAACTGCTAACTCAGTCCCAATCTGGCTTTAGAAAGGCCCACTCATGCGAGACCGCCCTCCACTCAGTAGTGGAAGACTGGATTGAGTCAATGGACAAAAAGCAACAAACAGGGGTCATTTTCTGTGACCTGTCTAGAGCGTTCGACACACTGGACCATGATATAATGCTGCTTAAACTCAAAATCTACGGTATAAATGAATTGCCCTGCAAATGGTTCAGGTCTTACCTTACTGGTAGGTCTCAATGTACATGCCAATGTACTGTCCAGCACTTCACAGGTGACTTGCGGTGTACCACAAGGATCTATCCTTGGTCCACTTCTTTTTATCATATACATTAATGACATACCAAACTGTATCCAGCTATGCAACATTGCGATGTATGCTGACGATACCATCATATATTTTGCACACCGGAGGCGGAGCATTTTGACCATAACAAAGACAATCCAAAGTGACTCAGCTCGGCTTGTGCAGTGGTTTACTGCTAACAAACTTTCCCTAAATCCCACGTAATGTAAATCCATGCTTGTAGGGACACATAGGGCCAAGTCTGCAAGCCGTGACCTACATCTGACACTAGAAGGTACTAACCTAGATCAGGTAAATACCTTTAAGTACTTGGGAGTCTTCCTAGACAGAGCCTTACAGTGGAACGACCACATCTTACATGTAACTAAGAAGTTGTCTCACGCTATTGGTATCATGAAGGGATTGAAACCATTTATCAATAGAGAAGCCTTAATGACAATATACACATCCCTTTTTCTCCCCCACTTAAACTACTGCAGTACTGTCTGGGATCAAGGTACCAAGGGCGGCATCGATAAACTACAGAAACTACAGAACAGGGCGGGGAGGGTGATCCTGGGGTGCGATCACTACACACCTAGTGATACCATACTCCACAGACTTGGCTGGACCCCAGTGATTGAGATGCACAAGAGGAATAAAGCAGTGCTTGTTTACAAGGCCCTACACGACATGTCCCCTTCCCACATCTCAGGTCTGTTCACACAGCTAAGGGAGGTACACACACACAATACACGCCTTATTATAGATCACAGGGTGGGCTACAACTGCCAAAAGCTCAACTTCAATATAAAAAGAAATCCCTCTCTTGTACTGGTGCCACATTATGGAACTCACTCCCACCTCAGTTAAAAAGAGCAGATTCTGTTTCTTCCTTTAAGCGCCTTTACAACCAGGAGTGTGTTGCCACATCATAACTTGTTATCAAACAGCATTCATATGCAAATTCCTTTGTTATATTCCTTTGTTATTTCCTTGATTTGTTTTTGTATTATTGCCTTAATTACTATGAGTTGTGGCTCTTGGTTGACAAGTTTGTTTTATTACCACCTTACTGAGTTGCGGCATTATATAGTACTTTTACTTTTATTTGTACTAAGTTGACTTTAATTTGTACTTATAAGTTGACTTATCATTTTGTTATATCTGTTATTTTCTTGTATATTTTATTTATATATGCCTGCAGGGCACATTGAAAAACGCCTTAGTGGCGATATGTACACCCTGGGTAAACAAATAAAAACAAACAAACAAGTAACTGAAATAAAAGTATCATGATTTTCATGTGCATAATGGTCAAAGCTACAAACGTACGTTTGCACAAATTGATATCTACTAATTACCCGTAGTTATTACAGAATAACTAAATTTTAATTAGGCAATTAGGTTATTCTCTAATAACTACAGATAATTAGTAGATATCAATTTGTGCAAACGTACGTTTGTAGCTTTGACCATTATGCACATGAAAATCATACTTTTATTTCAGTTACTTGTACCAAAGTGCTATATTATAACTTTAAAGATAATTACATTTGGGGCAATAAAATGTGATGACGTCATCCATATGGTCCAAAAAAATCATATTCATAACCCTTTTGTACCCAGGTATCAATATTCAGTACAACTATAGTTCTTTCTAAATTTCTTTGTGAGAAAATGATGGAAAGCTAAAATGCCAAATTACAGGGAGGACACCTTAAAACCTTTTTTTTTTTGGAAACCGCCGAAAATTCGCCTTACATACATGTACACTGCACCAGGATATGAAGGCTTGATAGTGAGTATGGTCCAAGGAAGAACTAAAATACATACACAGACACAACACAGCATACAGTGTTACTGTTGGGTTTTATTGTGATAATTGAGCACATATTTGACAATGCTAGTGCATAATAGCACACCTACACTCTCGTCACTGATACTGTGCAAATAACAAAGAGAATAAGAGAGACCAGTGTACAATATTTAAAATGTATTCAGTGATTTTAGGGATGCAAACAAGAATATCTGTGAGAAAACTCTCTTTTTGATAGCTGTGAATCTTTCTAAAGGTCTGTTGCATGATATAAATATCTTTAATTGCAATTAGCCAAAAATATAGTGATTGCATAATCAAGTTCTGCCTTACTGCAAAAAGCTGAATGAGATACAGCATTGCCACTATCTTTTTTCACTCATATCTACATCTGTTGCAGCTAAGCATGAGAAGCCCAGTGCTTCAGTGTCACTGTCAGTTGTTCTGGTGGTGGAGGGCGTGGCACACCCGGCCACCTGGGCCGCCAGCTCCGAGAACTTAGCGATGTAATCCACGCTGTTCTCATTCATCATGGCGTGGAGGGCGGTGTCCACCTGTAGAACATAACAAACAAATAAAACAATGTTAATATAGTTCATCCGTGTTGGTAGTAATCATAGTATGACGCTTAACTTTATTCCTACACAAAGGGTTGGGTGTAACAAGTGGTTCAGAGTAATGTAGCCAGCTGCAGCTGTCGCCGTGCCGCATGCCTTTATAGCTGGTGTGTTACGCTGAAGGGCAGTATACCGGCTATACAGATACAGATACATTGTACACAGGCATCAAATTTTCAAAGACCAGTGTCACCTTCATCAAGATGAATAATTCCAAACATAAATCCATGAGAGTTTCAGACACATGATCTGATTCACACAAGACAGATATGTGACTCCCTGACACTTTTGACCAATTGCTGACTTATCCATAGAGTCTCGTGTGAATAAGGTCACATGTCTGTAACTCTTGCAGATGATTGGTCATTTTGTATCTCGATGAAGGCAACAGTCGTTGAACATTTGATCCTTGTGAACCCTTTGCACCGGAATAAAGTTTAGCATTGTGAGTGAGTGAGTGATTGTACTATGAATAAACAACATCGCCCAGCTTGTCAATATCTTTACACAAACTTCTGTTTTGTAATGCTCAATGACAGCACTTCCACTGCTATATGTTAAGTCAAAGTAGGTGGTGCTTTGATGGCAAGAACACAATCTCAAATGTGACTTATGTCTAAGTTTGTATCCCCCCTCGTCCCGGTTCATCACTGGGACTGACTTTGGCTACATACATTTGTACATGTGTATAGCAGCAAGAAGCAGAACTCCAGTCAGAAGCTCTTCTGTTTTTCCTTAATGCCCAGCCCTACAGCGTAGGATTATTGGCAGCCGTTGCGCTTTGTTAATTACAATTGTGATAAAAAACAAAGAGAAAAAAAGGAATAACTGAGAAGGGAACATAAAACAACTGATTTTATGTGTGCTAAAGACGGGACAAGTGCATTAGTGAGTTAGTGATATTTACATATATACAAGACATGATGGTGTGGCTCAATGCAGCAGGGTCCTCGCCAGTTCAGATTTGAACTGGGTGAAAGACCCCGCCTCCGCCACACCAGACTCAAGTTCATTCCATTCCCTGATGGTGCGGGGGAAAAACGAGAGCCTGTAGAAGTTGTTTCTGCTCGCGATGGCCTGCAATGTTTGATGCGGCTGGAGCATCGAGCCACCGGGACAATCCTGGTTGAGTGTGGGACGGAGACAGCGTTATGTACGATCTTATAAAACATGACCTGGCGGACGATCTTCCGGCGTACTTCCAGAGATGGCCAACCCAGGTTTTGCAACATAGATGTAACAGAACTTGTCAATGAACATCTGTAGTCACAGTAGACAAACGGGCTGCTCTATGCTGGACCATCTCCACCCTACTCACCTGGTCCTTTGTGGGTGTCCCAGACACTACAGCTATACTCTAAGGAAGGTCTTACAAGAGCCATGTAGGCTCTCTCCTTTGCTGCATTGCTTAAGATTCGCAGGCAGCGTCTCAGCATTCCTAAGGTTCTGTTTGCTTTTGTTGTAACTAATTCAACATGTCTGCCCCAGGTCAAGTTTGAGGAGATGGAGACACCAAGATATTTGGTGGTACTTACTTTAGTTAGAATGTGGTCATGGAGGGTATAGGGAAACGTTATTGGGTTCCTAGAAGAAGGGACGGTCATCACCTCACATTTTGATGAGTTGAAGGCCATCAGCCACTCCTTCTCCCAACTACAGATACTATTGATGTCATACTGCAGTCTTTTACAATCGTCTTCTTCCTTAATACTCATCTGCAAGATGCAGTTGTCGGCGAAAAGCCTGACTTTAGCATGTGCAGCATATTTAGGAAGGTCATTGATATATGCTAGAAAGAGAATCGGGTCCAGGATTGTACCCTGGGGTACGCCCGATGTTACAGGCACTGGGTCCGAGCGCTCCCCGTCTAGCACTACAGTTTGTGAGCGGCCCTGCAGGAAATTCTGGATCCAGACAAGTGCCTTACCAGTAATGCCTTAAAATTGGAGTTTGTGTATCAGCTGTAGATGAGGGACCTTATCAAAGGCTTTAGCAAAGTCCATGATAATAAGGTTCGTCTGGTTCCCGTTTTTCTGAGGAAGGTGTCTGATAGACATGAAAGTACCGTGAGAGAAGTACGGTGAGAGAAGTACGGTGGTGAGAGAAGTACTGGTTGTGTTTATTAAGTAAATTCCAATATCCTATGTTCTACCAACCTGATGAAATCATTTTGGGAAACTAGAATTCCGAGATCTCATACCTCCATGAAATATGATCTTGATATGTAAATGTAAATTTCTTCTTTAATTGTGCAAATGACCTCTGCATTAACATGATATAGGCATCGTGATGTATGTTAACTTTTGATTAACTTACAGATGTCCCACGTATGACATTCTCATCAGTCACCATTACGAAATCATAGAATTTTCGCATTAATTATGCAAATTAGGTAATCATTTGCATAATTAGTATCTGTTGAAGTTCCGCCTGCCATAGGTTACATACATTACATGTATGTAAGTAGTATAATGTAAAACACTGTAATTATAGAATGTCCTCATTAATTATGCAAATAAAGTCCTCATTTGCATAATTTGCATTTAATTATGTACATCTCTCTCTCAGCTACCTACACACCAAAAAAAATGAAAATATGTTGTTCCTGTTTGGACTTATTGGCTTTTAAACATTTCGCCAGAAAGTGCCCTGCAGTTCCAGAACAAGCCGCTAGGGGGCTCAAACTCACATGACTTCTTCCCAAGCACGAGAGCTACCTTCCATCAAAATTTCATGACCCTAGCATGTCCAGATCGCGAGATATCAAAACCGGAAGTTGCGCTGCAGTACCAAGGGAAGCCACTAGGGGGACCAAAATCTAATCATTTCTAGTTTTTGTCACACCCTACCAACACACCAAGTATGAAACCAATCCATCCAGGCGTTCTTGAGTTATCTTGTTGACCAACAGACGGACAGACGGACAGATAAACGCAACTGAAAATATAACCTCCATGACACATTTCATGGAGGTAATTATGCCACTGATATGATCAATCCAGGATTGAGGGTGGTACTCACATCCAGTGCATGTTTAGATGCCAGGGAGTCCCTGGATTCCTCACTGAACAGGACAGAGCCTCCCCCCAGGGACATGTTCTTGGCCTTTTCAGGAGATTGAAGGGTCGCTGGAAAATAATGAGTACAGATTATGTACGTTGATCAAGATTAGACATCCAGGTAAGGCCATGTTGATTTTGATTATATGGATGACATCCTCTGGGAACCCAAACCTGATGCGAGCATGCAAATAAAAAAAGTTAGTTGTCATGAAATCTATATGTGCTCATGAAGGTTGAACAAATGACTAAACACAGTATGGTATGTCGAATAATAGACTCTTCATTTTCATTTCTTCACATTTTTTTTTTTTTTGCATTCTATGACTGTATCAACTGTCAATCATTTGTTCATCTTGCAGCTGCTTTGTATGATTTACAGTGTGGTCAGTGTGGGGGGATGGACGAATGCACACATGAATGTCATCCATAATTATAATGAAAGCAACATGGTCTAAGGAGATACACATAGGAATTGTGACTCATTACAAGCAACTGGATAGATTTTAAAAACTGTCAAATGCTTCAAGTAGCATCCACTACTTTACGTCAGTGACTGGGAATTAACTGTCACTGACGAATTTAACAGTCACTAATGAAAGTAGCGGATGCGACTTAAAACATCTGTTTTCAAAATCTATCCAGAAGTTAAAAACCTATCCAGTAGCTTCCTGGCATAATTATCATGTAAATTGCATGCTGCTATGGTACAACGATTGACGTTAATAAAAAAAAATTGGGTGGGTATTGATGGGGAAATTTCTTTCATCTGGGTGGATTTGCTAAACACAATCATGAACACCAGCAGAGCATGCACAAGCATTGCATGCACAAATTGACTACCAGCATTTACAGAAGTCAAAATACCCCATATTTATGTACTAAGAGTACATGTACAATGTACAGCTTTCCCTTCAGAGATTCACCAAAGGGCTATTGAAGGGGCGTTTTGTAATACATGTATTTTTGCCAAAAAACAGTTACTCAAGCAACTGGATATGATTTTGAAAACGTCAGACGTTTCAGCTAGTATCCACTAGCTTTCGTCAGTGACTGAGAGACCAGAAGGGAAAGCAGGTTTA